ACAGCAGGCGCTGGCTGATTCCATCCATGGTTGGTTCGTGGACTGGATCAAGAACCCGGCTGCTGGGCCTGAATGGGCCAAGGGGTCACCTCAGTCCGGGCCTTTGGTCAAGCTCGGAGTCCCTGGAGACGAGTTGTCTGCCATTCAGGGATTGACCGGCGATTTCAATGCTCGCTGCAAGTCGGTACGTATCCTGCAATATCTTACTTCCTGTATAAGACATCTTACTGATCACATTTCAGGTCTACGCACCTGCATTTCCCAAGTACCCGGTCATTCAGTCTCCTCTCTGAGTAGTGTTCTGGCGTACCTGAGCATGCAGTTTCAGCACCGGCTCCGGAGATGGAGGCAGGACTTCGGAAATATTAATGAAGAGGGCTAGATCGCGAGCATGTATGCATTTCTGATGATACTTAGACTGCGCTGTTCATTTATTTACTGAGTTCGAAGCTACCACATCTTCCTTCTTTTAGAACAGTAGACCCGAAAGTGTCATGTTGCAGCAACTTAAAGTTGCCCATACCGCTGCGTCTTTCACTTATAGGCTATAGCAGATCACATCGTGACATTATTCTCGCTTCCAGTACACAGGGTGGCAGGCTTCCCAGAGAACTGAGTATTCTGTTCATGGTCTGTGGAGAAACCAGATGAACACCGAAGATCCTTTAGGAGCCGGTACCCTGCCACAATGCATCGCGAGCTTCCGACCCAGCAGCATAATAGGAGAGGGGACAGTCACTGGGTTTATCGCTCAGCTAAGTAACGAAACTGGTGTGATTATCTTTGTGACAGTTGAAATCCAATCTACAACGTTGATTCAAACGTACGAGTCCTCTGTTTTTCTACTTCACAGTGATTTGAGCCATCAGAGCACCCCTCACATGCAAGTACCTTGTTGCAAGTACTGCCTCCTGGTTCAAGCACAAATTTGACGACAGATAGGTACTAGATGGACATGGACCCTGGTCACCTGCTGCTCGTATACTGACGAGCCTCCTCTTTGCTCGTATCTGCGTTCTTGGGATTGTTCTTTTGCTAGATGGCTACATATCTCTAACTTGGCTGACGCTCTTGTTTGTCATATCCGAAAGTTGATGTACTACGACTGCCCTCATTTGTTTTCTTTCTTTCTTTTTTCTCTACTCAGTAACCATACGGAATGTATCCGTATCTATGAGCAGACATTGATGGTCCCTGGTACAAAAGGCTGGTGAAATAGAAATGCCCCCGGTTCCAACAGAAAACGGTCTGCCAGGGGTTTACGTGGTCCTTGTCCGCATGCATAATCGAAAGACACTCCACACCCTTCACTATCCCAAGCGAAAAGACTTTCCGAGAGGTCCCCTTGCAGACTCCATTCACTCTTACACGCAGTGATGGAATTGGCTTTGATCCCCACGACCCTTGCTGCAGAGCCCAACCGGAGAGACGGATATGGCCTCCGTCGCCGCGGGTCCACTTCCGCCTGGGGGTACGACGGTAAAGTGGGATATAACTTCGACCGCATATGACCCGTCATATTTGATGCTTTGATTTAACAACAACCAACAGCACATTCTCCCAGTTCAGAACATGTTCCGCAAAGCTGCCGGGAGCCTTGTTGCTACTATCGCCAAGATCCTACAAGTCATTTCTTATCGAAGAAAAGAGAGAGGAATTGGCAGCACATTGCCAACGGGCAAGATGCACATGAGTGGGAAGTAGTCTTGCGGATGACACGCGGCCAAGTGATGTACCAAAGTTGAAGAACCAGCACATCTATTGGATTATTACATGTACTTGGGTCTCCGGTAAAATTACTCTATACGGCAGGTTCCTCTCTCTTGCAGCATCTAAGTTGAGATAACTGGTGGATTTCCACCCAGGCCCTACAGGTACGACTCAAAGATTTTCTGAAACTTTTCCCGCGTAGCCTGACTTCCTACCCACACATCCTGCTTCCCATCAACGATCTCTATGTCGGTACCAACAAATGTTGCGACCATGCCGTTACCAAAAGCACCCTTGTCGATGAAGACATGTTCGTCAGGCTCAACAACAGCAAGGTAGTAAGGGTGAGAAAGCATTGCCGTGAGGACCGCGGGAGACTTGTACAGGAACATGGCAATGCCGTCAAAGTCAACGGGGACGGTGGATGCCGGCACGGTTGAACCTGCCTCGGTGGGAAGAATCTGGCCCCCGACTTGGATCTATGACAGAATCAGTTTATGCTCATTGCCGGCTCGCAGCAATGCAGAAGCCAAGGCTACAATTTACAAACCTGCTGGTAACGCGTGATGTTGAAGTGCACAGCCAAGGGGGCGACCTTGGGGGCGTGCTGGGTCTGCCAGTAGTCCCAGAATTGCTCCTGGGTCAGGTTGGTCGCTCGCTTGACGTAGGTGACCATCTGAGCCTGCCCAGTGTTTGAGCATGCGGTCATGCCGCTGGCGATCAGCGTCGCTGCGATGGTGAGCGGGACGGAGAGGCGGACCATCTTGGCTGATATTAGGTTGAAGATGAGAGTGAGAAAGGATGAAGAGGTGCCCGGGTACCTGGACTTGATTTGTGTCTCCTGGGGTTCCAGAAAGAAAGAATGGAATGGATCTGAGCCTTTATGTCTTTCGATCTTGGGTGGGTTCCTGGCCGGGGCTCCAGTTCAGGTTGTGAGAATCCAATACAACACCATGCTCCATTAAGATTGGTTTTCAAGGGTTGCTATTGTTTGCGTCGTTTGCATGATGAGTATCTCATGGTTCGGTTCTCGCGGTTGATCGATAGAGCGCCTAGACTTGCGGCCCAGAATCTACCAACTGTGCTACTCATGCTCTCACAGGACGGTCATTCGATCCATTCCGGTTGAGAACGCAAGGGTTTGAGTAACCAGGTATCAGATCGGTCCGGATGTTCAACTTACATTGGCGAAATTTGCTGCATGTAGGCAGCCTTGTCCTGCATTTCTTGGCCATCTGTTGTGTGAAAGTGCAGGCCAAGGTCCATCCGAAAGCCAGGGCCCATGCAGTTCTCCAGTCCAGGGCCGGTGCTCGTGTTGGTTGACAGAAAACGGGAATGTGATAGCTCAGCCCGCCTCAGAGTCTTTTCCAGTCGCATCAGTCATGTTTAATATAATTCAAAGAGCGAATCCTCGTCATTTTCCGTGATAAGGTTAGCACAATGAAAAAAGAGCTCAAGCAGATCAGAGGATGGTTGTGCGCATGTTTAAATATTGAGGGTCGCAGCTGTTTGTTCGCGTAGTATGCAAGGATGAATTTGTCGCCAGTCTGTCTTTTCTGATTTTCCATCTCCTCTTCCCTTGGCCTTTTGAAGACCGTCAACACTTGGTCATTCTCATGGCCGAGTTTCCGATCACTAATGGCACCATAACTGTCATCAAGGCCCCCGAGGGCTACTTGGTAGACTTTGAGCATCCGCAACAACAAAAAGTGCTCGAACATTACCTGGTGTTTGGAATATTGGGGCCCTTGGCATTCTTGACTCTGATCCAGAGATTCTACACAAAGTTCTGTCTATCCGATGGCCCAAAGATCGACGATTGTGAGTGACTTGGCACCACACAACCATGCTGTTATTGACATTCATTCCCCACAGTTCTGATATTCTTCGCATGGGTAAATATCTGACATACTGCTATCTGAACCCGAAGGAAACTGATTCTCTCAAGGTCTGTTCTATTGTCATGCAGTCGGTGCAGATATGTAGGATGCTATGCCTTCAGGTTCTCGGGGCTCGATCAAGACACTGACATCGTACTTCAGGGTCTATATCGATAGGGGGTTTGGGTCACCACGCCTTCGAGATGTCCATACAGATATATGAGAAGCATATGCTGGTGAGTGTTCCGGTCGATGTCGAAATGGATGCTGTCGATGTCAATTTGCCTTCAATTCTGACGTATCCCCACAGAGCTCTTATATTGTTGCCCCTGTGTTTATCACCTGCAACGGCTTGACGAAAACCTCACTTTTGACCGCCTACCTCAATATTTCACCCCAGAGGTGGTACCGAAACGCAATCTTGACAGCCATTGCGATGGTTTCTGCATACACTATCATTATCGCATCACTTCTCCTTTTCCACTGCCAACCGATTCGCACAAACTGGGACCCGTACACCTCCGGAACATGTCTAAACTCAGCAGTACTTTACATGGCCATCGCCGTTTCCAATATTGTTTCTGACGTCGTCCTTTTCATCATACCAATACCCATGGTTCTTCGTTTGCAGATGCGGCCGGCTGTCAAAGTGGGAGCCGTGCTTATGTTTGGCATTGGATCCATGTATGTCTACCATATTCCAGCCGTCTGAGAGGAAACATACTGATCCCCTTTCCAGAACTGTCACAACATCTGTCGTCCGCATGGTTTACTTGCAGTCGCTCCTTTCATCCAATGATATCCCATGGGTAGCAGCCCCTGCAAATGTCTGGTCGTACGTCCTCAACCCTGTCTTCTTCCAAAGTCCTCCATATGCCATACTTTTAACTTATGACTTCCCGCTCACAGTTTCGTCGAGGTGAATCTATTCATAATATGTGGCTCAATGCCTACCCTACGCAGATTCTTCAGGGCAATGGCACCTAAATTGATCGCCTCGGAGGGATCGAGAGTGAAGGAAAGTACGCATGCCAGTGTTTCTCGAGGGCCGCGCAGCAGATACTCACAGTTCGACATTGAGATGGATAGCCTATCCAGTGAAAGCGGAGTTTTGGAGGAAAGCAAACAGCGCAAATCAAAAGCGTGAAAGTGATTTGATAAAATTTCTATCGTCGATAGCCTTCGATGGAAGCTACCGAATTCGGAATTTCGAATCTCCCTATAAGGTCTGGTATCTCAATTCTATGAGATCCTCCAATGGCAGTATAAGCTTTGATCAATCCACATTCGACCGACAACGCCCTAGCCCACAGCTCTCTTCCTGATTCCGTGACGATCTGATTACTTTTCCTTGCTTAATACTCAAGGATACCCTTGCTGAATATGTAACTTGTTTCCTGTCAATCCTCCCTATTCGATCGTAACCTTGGATAGTTGAGGCGAGGTGGGGGCTTCGAGCAAGTTCCTTAGGCCTCTACGATTCGCAGCTATAATGGCCTGCGCGGAACTTGATTAGCTCATTATCTCATGGAATCAATAGCCCTAGCATGGGGCCTACCTGTGCGAGCAGTTGTCCAACGCTCATCGGGTGTTGCACATCACAATACAACACCTTCATTCTTAGATCAAGGAAGAATTTCGCGATACGTCCCAACTCAGCATCGCCATGCGGTGCTCCACGGTTCTTAGACGTCCCAACCAGAAAACAAAGGGCGTCTGGTCGCGCTCTGGAAACCTCGTTCGCTAGGTCTTGGATTTCGACCCGCGCCGCGCTGTCCACGCCTACGAGAATCAAGAATGCGTCGTCACATTTGTATGACTGTTGCCTGAGAGAGCGATCATCTGCTAGTCCTGTTGTATCGTGTAGTTCAAGGCCCAGTATTTCACCACGCACACTATCCATGTCAATAGAGAATTCACGGACCGTTTTGACAGACAAGACTTTTTGGTGTTGCCAAAGACACGTACCGTACTGCGTATCGAGAATAGTGAGCACGCCTGGGGATATGTACATCTTTTTCGAGTTTTAACCATGGTGTTGGGTTGATGAAAGTATTGATCATCTCACTATTAAGCGCTTTGGAGTCCCCGACTATCATGATACTACGAGTTTCAGAATAAAACCGATTTGCAGAGAGAGATCAGGTACTCACGTGCAAGTTGTCAATCCTTCTTGTTGAATTTCGGGCTCTCTGTACGCGACGTCGCCAGACTCATCAAATTTGAAAGGCAACGTCCCTGCCAATCTTTCGTCCCTAATGGGAGCTCGTGACAGTGAGTCCCTGCACTCAAATGGATTGGATCGAGTCTGGTCTTCCATAGATTGATAGTTCATCAAAAGACCTGAAAATGTTGACCCCGGTGCAATTTTATTGATATCCTTGAGAGTAATTGGCAATCTAAACGCTGACACTGTGGAAATGTCGCCGATGGTGAGACCTGAGAGCATACTCCAAGCGCTTGTCGGGGCGTTGGATGTTGTGAAAGAGGATCTGTCTGTTTCGCGGTCTTGGGCCCGTTTATAAACCCTCGATTGACCCAAGTCGAGCTCGAAATTCCTTTTTGATAGCGTCATGATCATTGATCCCTCCAAAGACTCTGGGGTCCGAAAGGCGGCTGAAGGGGATCTGTGGATAACACTTTGGGTAGACACAGGTCTGCTGATTATTGAGGACGCGTTGTCCATGAACTTGACGGATCTAGTGTCCCACGACTTTCCGTTGTCGAGCAGCTTCAATTGTTCGGCTAGTGTTCGGTTTTGCTGAAGAATTTCGTCCACTTTGGCCAACATGGTGATTTGTGAGCGACTCGCTTCTTCTTGAGTCTCGCTATGACATGATAAATAAATCTTCAAATACCTAGTGCCTTTGGTTGTCTACTACTCACCTATTGAGAAGTGTGATCATCACAGTCAATGTTGACTTCTGAGACTCCAACCGGGGAAGAAGAGCTAGAATCTTCTTTTCGTGCCACAGCGCCCATTTCATCCGAGACCGCAACCCATCCTGCTGGCAGACGATGGATTCGAGTTTTGAAAGTGTTAGAACGGAGTGTGTGATGACAATGGAGAGGTGATCGAGCTGGATCATGTTTTTGCGGGAACTGGGGAAGGTGTCGAGGGAGTGAAGCAGCTCGTGGACAGAAGACAGAGTTATTTTTGTCTCTTCAATGAGTTGAAACATTTGTATCGCAGACTCGGGGGCATCGATTGCACTGGACACGAAATTGGAGGTGGTGTTGTACACTTTGACCGCCGTGGCCAGCAATCCAGCAACCGAGCCAGCGATACTGAGAGGGTCAGCCATTTTGGTCACTCTAATTGATACCTGAAAGAGACGGGAGCGACTCTAGAAGAAGACGTTTGGAAGAAGTGATGCTGTCATGGGATGCCCGTATTGAGATGCTGGTCACCAGAGTTTACGAGAAAGGAAACGCCCCGGCAAAACAACTTTGGGGATCGAGGCTTCCAAATCTCTCAGCTCCGTATCATCCCAATTGTTGGTTATGCCTGGCGCCAGGCGAGATGGAGGCTTAGGCGCGCTTACCCCTGGCCAGATAACAAGGCAGACCTGCAGGTCAGCTTTTTGGTCAATTTCGCGGGCATCCATTACTGGCTCATTATGCTGGAACTAGCAGACAGGCCTAGGCGGGTGCCTTAAAGGCTGCATACTGGCGAACCACATCTGCGGAAAAAGCCTTGTGATGATTTGCCAAAAGCAATGTAATTTTCAATAGCAACTACACCGCCACACCTCAGCCTTTGAGGATCGCGAACGCATATGACCGTGATGGAGTTCACACTTTTGATGATTCTCACTTCCGTTGAAGTGACATCTTTCTCGGTCGTATCGCTGTTTAAACGGCAGTGGGCTCAGAATGGCCTTATGAGCTACTGCTACATGTGTAAATATCACCAGAACACTCTGAGCAACCAGCTAACATTGTCCGGATATCAAATTTGTTATATTAGGATATTAATTGTATTTTTGGGATGAATTGTTTTTCGAGATACGGTGATGACTGTATTGATTGCCTTGAAAAGTTCTATCGGCCAACTCAATAACTAGGCTTGCGCCAGAGTTCCATCGTAGCAATAAGGCAGAGGGGAGATTTTTAGCCAAGACTAAGGATCAGGCATTTGAGGCTGAAAGCTTGGTCAAGTGCAACTAACTGTAGTAAACTAGGAGCACAAATCAACGTCGGCTCGCAACTTATCGCCCGCATCAGGCGGGGCCGTAAACCCGGCGTCCCCTCTCGGCATCCCGAACCAAGCTTTCTCACCCGGACTTCCTAACGTCAAAGCTCCTCCCTCCTCACACAATGACACAGTCAAACAGTCCACCGACAACTAAAGTAAGGGAACCCCCACCGACTTCCAAAACCTTCCAACACGCTCAACGCTCCGAAACCACGCACATGAGTTCGAAAGTTGGTCTGATGTTCCCGCCACACGATGACCTCACCTAAATCCCAAGACAACCGTCAAGAACCTTTCGCAAACCCCTCTCTTGAGCCCACGGCCCCCGGCCTTCGAGAAGACACTCACTACCTTACTGTGCAGGATGTATACCTCTTGAACTTACCGACTAACCTTTCCCCGGCAGTCTGCAGCCAGAAGGTGTCAAAACTGGCAGTCAATGACACTTGACACCGTTGTGGCTCGCACGTACGCACGCGGCACGCCCGCCCCGCACCGCACAGGTGCAAGTTGTTTGGACTGTTCTTGCGATCCCCTCTTTTTCCCGATCCCAACTTTGATGCGGCCGGTGGAATCATGGAGAAAAAAAAAGCTTCTTTCGTCTTCGGTGGGTGGTATAAGTCCCTGGGCTCTGGGACTCACCCACCACCTTACCTCTTAACACCATTTAAGTCCAAGAAACTGCAAGTTGTCATTGTCACTCGACTTTGAAGCCATCATCACGACAGTCAGGCAACCAAACACCAAACAATGCATCTACCAACATCCCTCCTCACCCTCTTCCTCCTAACAACAGCCTTCGCCCTCCCAACCGCAAAAGACAACAAAGTCTTCGCCCCAACCCCCGACTCACCACCCCCCCAAGACCTCGGTATCCATACGGGCAAAATCGGCGTAGACAATGTCGACCTCTCCGCCCTACGCGTCGATCCCGTCCGCGTCATCAGCAGGATCAAGTCATCGTCACAATTCACCTCGTCTCTCCTCACAAAACGTCGAGACGTGCTTCTCGAGGAACATGATGGACGGATCAATATCGCGAAAGATAAACGCTCGCACATTCAGGTTGATCCGGTCGAGGTGAATGTTCACATTATGAGGCCTTCGGTTCATACGATGCCTGTTGGTGGGAAGAGTGCCAAGGTGGAGGAGGCGCAGAGGGAGACGGGCAAGGGAGAGAGTGAGGCTGTGAAGGACATGGAACCGAAGCCCAAGTACATTCCAAAGTTCATGCTGGATTATAGTACGGCTGGGTGGTTTAGGCATTTTATTCGATTCTAAAGGTGCGGCTTCATATTGGCTTGAGGAGTCGAGTTGGGACAGTCAGGCTTGGTTGAGGGCTGTCTCGACTTGGATTTCTCGGCTACTACGCAACATTCACCTCTTCCTATGTTTCTTGGCTTGGTCAGCGAGGAATTTGTGTACATTGAGCTTGGGTGGTGTATCGTCGTGTACCTCGCGATTTGAAGGGTGGTTTCGATTTTTGGGCGCATTGGAGAACTGGATGGGAATAGGTGACAGGTTTCTAGTCAACTACCACTGATAACAATCCTTACCTTTTTTCAAGTACGATGCTAACGGTGCGATGAGATCGAGAATGACACGCTTGCAACTGCCAAAGGTATCATGCTTCCATGGTGACTGGTATCGCAGACTCTTATTCGTAATCATCGTTAATTAAGTACACTCGCGCCCCTCGAGGTTATACAAGCGAGCCGATAATAGATGTGAAAATGCATAACTCATACAGACGAAAATTACCTGTCCCAACTGCAGGCCGGAGATGAGGTATGGGGTATGCTTCCGACGCCAGTGATATGCAACCAAGAACACGCAGGATTTCCCCCCTTTGAACCGTGACCATTACGGACCCCAAACAAAACCCCTCTTCATGTTCACGTCAGTATCCAGCGGGCCATCTGGCACCGGGTGGTTCGGCGGTCGAGCTCAAGGACGGGCAAATCCTTGTTTCGCCTAAGAATTGTTAGTGATGGGAAACAGATTATACCAGATCAAGATGACAACTGACCTTCATTTGTTCAATCCTGGCTTTCAGTTGGCTGGTCACTTCAGCTGCACGCTTCCAGCTTTCCACACCGTTGTTATTCGAGTTCATGCCACCGCCTCCACCGCCGCCGCCAGACGAGTATGACGGTGCCGGTATATCATCAACGGGGGTGGCTGCAGAGCTCCTGTAGCCTCTAGCAGGGCTACCACGTCCGGAAGATGCACTGCCCGTATACCTAAGCTCGGGACTGAGTGCCTTTGAGCGAGGGTAGTGATGGTCTCCGTTCTCCTTCTCCTCAGACATGTTGCTGGCGTAACTAACACGGTTGTGTCGAGCAGAAGATGAACCGTAGGATGCGTCGCGGTAGATACCGGCGTCGTCGTGCGTAGGCGAAGCAAGACCTGCGATTACATCAGTACATGAACACTCACTGATAGAAGAAGCTGCTATCTTACCTGGGCTGCCCATGCCTGTCCTTGAGTTCAGGGCCTCGGCGTGGTTGAGCGCTCTCTTAAGGCGATCCAGCTCCCGTCTGAGGCGATCGTTCGTCGACTCCGTGGCCTCTGCATCACTTCTTGCACGAACCAACTGCGTCTCCTTGGCCTTGATGCTGAGGACATCACGGGTATGGTCTTCAATCAAACCCGCATTTTGGTTCTTCAACTCTTGAATCTCAGACATGTACTTGCTCCTTTCATGCCTCATTTCCTCCACTTGGCGTGTCAGGCGCTCGTTTGCCGATCTGAGTTCTTCGAGTTCAGCCCGCTCCATTGCCGTGAGTCCGCTGGAAGGCGGCGGCGATGCAGGAGGCATCTGAACAGGAGCGGCAGCAGGTTTCGCAAGAGATCGTCCTGCAAGACCACCTCTGCCGAGGCCAATGCGAGGCTGAGGCGGGGGAGGGGCAGGCTCATCATCGTCGGGCATAATTGGTGCGGCAGCAGGGCGTCGAGGGGATCCGGCCGCCGCTGGTGCACCGAGAGGGCGCTTGGATTTGAGGCCGGCCAAGCCCGACGGCTTCGGCATGCCCATCTTGGTGCCTGCGGGTTTGGGACGAGATGAAGCTTGTGGGGAGAGGGGTTCCGGGTCGGCGGGCGGCGGAGCGCTTGCCGCCGGCATGGCCGGTCTCTTCATGCCCAGGGGCTTCTTCCCTCCGACGACCTTCTTCGGGGGCGGTGCCTTGGCAGCTGGCGGGGGTGCCTTCGGCTTCTCTTTTGCCTTGACTTCAGCCGTCTCGAAGAATTCTTTGATTTTCGTCTTGCGGATATCATCTAGGCCTTCCATGTGCGGACCCATACCGCGCTCGCCAATGATCTTCATGACAGTGCCCAAAATCTCAGCACCGCCTGAACGGAGGCCCTCGCTGGACTCGGTCAACAATTTCTTGCCTGCCTCGACAATGGACGCGATCTCGGGCTTGCTCGGCACATCGCGTGTCGTTCTGAGGCAACGAATCAAGAACTTCATGGTGCCCTCCTTGATCTGGGGGTTCTTGTGGACGAGGTAGGTATTGATGTCTTCAAGGCAGTCAGTCAGACTTGTAGCCAGGAAGACTTGGTCAAGCGCAGCGCCGAGAGCATCTGCCACCGTTGCCTTCTTCTCCTTCAAGCGTTCCATGATGGGTTGCATCACAGTAGTGCGGTGTTTTGCGTAGCCTTGCCGCAATCCCTTGGCCAAGACCTCGATACACTGCGCGGCTTGAGTCACAACAGCAACGTTGGCGTCCTTCATGCACTTTGCCAGCCCTCGGTTGATCTCGTTGAAGTCGCCATCCTTGATTCTTGGCACGTTGATTGCCGCGTAGAGACCTTCCACTGCTTCCTTTCTCTCCTTCCATTTGGACGAGGCCAAGGCTTCGTTAAAGTTGGCGGGGATCTTGCCAAAGACATCCTGGGGTTCCGCCAGGTCGAAGGCGTCCATCTCGGCTGGTTCCTCGCCATAGTCTCCACCATCATCGTACTCGTCGTCGGCTCCGGGTGGGGGCGCACGTGCCATGGCGGCTTGTTGTGAGCGCAAGAATCGTTCTTGCTTCGGAGCTGGCTCGGCCTTGATCTTTTCGAATTGCGCCTCGAGGTCGGTCTGCTGAGTGGGTTTCAAGTCGCCCCAGAACATGGGCTTCATGGCTTCGCGCAGCCATCGGTAGAATTCGACGGCAAGGCTCGTCGCGGCAGCACGGACATTCTTGTCGGCATGACCAAATGCCTTGGGAAGGACCTTCAACACGGGCTTGGGGTCGACGGTCTTGCATCCGAAGTTGTGGTAGACTGCGGTCAGTGCGGTAATAGCCGCGGCGACAACCTTTGGTTGCTTGTTGGCAAGCGCCGGGATAATCTCTTCGATGACTGGGGCGGCAACATCGAGTTCGACGAGTAGTAGAAGGGCTTCGAGAGATGACTCCTTGGCAGCGGCACGCGTTGACGGCAAACCCTTTTCACAGATAGGCCCTATCGTAGTTCCACGCGTCCTTGTGCAGTGTTCCTTTCCTCCGAATTTGAGAAACGCGCAGTACGCCGCCAGACCATCTTGTTGGGCAGCAACGTTGGAATCGGCGACGGCGCCTTTCCAGAGGCCCGAGTCGGAGAGGAAGGGTCTGAAGGCATTGTCGTACTCGTCGGCAGTAGCAGCGAAGGCTTTCGCGGCGTCTTCATAGGCCTGCTTTCTGACTTTCCAAACCTGCGGCGCGTCAGCGCATCAAACACGGCGCAGCAGAGGCGGCAACGTCATACCTTGTGGGTAAACCTATCCTGGAGGGGAAGGGAGCTAAAGTCTTCTTCTTCAGCCATCGGAATGGAGGCTTGCTGGCGGGGTGTAGTAGGGACCGGTTTGGGTGGTGGAGGGGTTGGAGTAAGAGGAGGAGGAGGAGGAGGAGGAGGAAGAAGAGCTGAATCGGGGGAGCAGTTCTCCTTGTCGTGGATGTCTGGCTTTCTGAAGCTAGCTACACGTCTGATTAGCCTCGAGAGGGAACGAGTATGTTTGAGATGACGGTCCATATTGAGGAAGGAGGACAGTCACAAGCTGCAGAACGCAATGGTATGCAGGCTGCCGGCAGCTGCAGGCGCAGTGACTGGCGATGTCTGTGGTGATATGGGCGCAAGAGGCTGGCATGACTTACAGAATGATGGCCAAGCTGAACCAGATCAGGTGAATTTGAGGTTGTCGCAGCAGCCAAATACTTGTTGATCGTCAAGCCAATGTGGAATTGGCAAGGTACCTGGCGGTGAGCGAGGTGGGTGGGAGCTGTGAAAGTATCCTTCGAGGTATTGGAGATTGCGAGGAAGGTTCCTAGCAGTATAGGAATAGCAATAGGTATGGGGAAACAGAGAGATGTGAGGTATGTGCGGTGATGGTTCTCGTGGAAACAAGGGACCGGGACTGGAGGAAGTCAAATCAGGTCTTTGAGATGACAGAGAAAAGGAGGCTAGAGGTAGTTCCCGTAGTGTGGTTGTTGCAGGTGAAGGTACAAAGCCAACGTCGCCAGTCTGAGGGTTGTGGAATGTGGAGGAAAAGTACGGCTGGGGTTTCTTTTGTTTGTGCTGGTCCGAAGAGCACAGGGAATTTTGGTTGTCGGGACAAGGGCGGAGGGGACGGGCCCAGCAAGCAGGTGCTTTGCTTGGATTTGGTTCACCGTTCACCTCAAGGCTTCTGTCAGGGTTGCCAGTTGGTGGGCGCCTGCATTGGGCGCCCTTTTCTCCCTGTTCCTGGCCTGACGTGTTTGTGTGTGTGTGGGGAACACAGCAGATGGGCGCGCATCGGGCAATTGGGCATGAATATGATTGGGTCGCTGGTCTCCCGGGTCAACACAGATCACATGATGACTTTCAATTCTCTACCACTCGATAAGACTTGATAGCATGGATGGCGGGGCATTGGCTATTCACCTACCTTCACCTGCCTTCACCTTGGCCTCACCTTGGGCTTACCTTGTGTGCTTGTTCCCTCAGAGCCTTAGTCATGAAAGCCAGGTCCGGCCATCTAGCCAAATTGCTTCCTTTTTCCTCTCTGCTTCCAGGCCCAAGCACCCAAGATGCGCTTGCTCAATTTGCGCATTAATGGCCGTTATAAGCCACTCTAACATATCCACTCATTTAAAGATAGCAAATCATGCCATGAATCAGGCATTTCCACCCTGAGGCTTGCACGGTAGTGTAGTAGTTTGCCCCCTAATATTTAAGCAATGATGCTGGAAATGTCTTTTTGCCAAAGAATCAATTGACCGAATAGACTGTTACGGCTGGTTGGCTGTGACAGCTGCAAAAGTGGCTGAACCACATGTTGA